ACGAGAGAGAGAGAGAGAGAGAGAACGACGGAAAGAGAGAGAGAGAGAGAGAGAGAAAGAGAGAGGAGTGAACACACATATGTACACATGGTTCTATACATATATATATATATATATATATGTGATTTTATTCATGTACACATGTATAAGCATGATCTGTATCTGCATGTAGGCACGTACGACACACACGCATCTACACTTACACACATATACACATGTATGTATGTAAGGATGTGTTTCTGTCTGTCTGTCTTTCTGTCTGTCTGTCTGTCTGTCTGTCTGTCTGTCTGTCTGTCTGTCTGTCTGCCTGTGTGTCTGTCTGCCTGCCTGCCTGTCTGTCTGTCTGTCTGTCTGTCTGTCTGTATGTTTGTTTGTATGTATGTATGTATGTATGTATGTATGCATGTATATATGTATATAGGTTTGTTTATGTATATATATATATATATATATATATTTAGATATGTATGAACAATGGGTAGGGTGTCCCGGGGCCCCCAAAGTGCACTGATTTGTCTTCCGGCCGTTTCGGGCCCGGCGAGAGGCGTCAAAAAACGTCAAAGGGGGCCGAAAGACGTCCAAGAGGGCGCCAAGATGGCCCAAGAGCGCTCCAAGAGAGCCCAAGACCGCACAAGAGCGTTTCGAAATTTGTCCAACATGGCTTGAAGACAGCCTAAGAGGGCCTCAAGACGGCCAAGATGCCCTCACAAGGACTCCCACGATGCACTCAGGAGGCGAACAAAGGTTTCGTCGAGGGTTTTCGAAGGTTTTTAGTGTTCTCGCTGTTTCGTGCTTCTGACGGTCCAAGACAGCCCACGAGGCCCCAGAAGTCAGCTCAAGACGGCCCAAGAGGCACCCGAAGCGGGCGCCACGACGGCGCAAGAGAGTCCCAAGACTGCCCAAGAGTGCCCCAAGACGGCCCAAGAGGCGCCCAAGATCTCCCAAGAGGACCCCAGCACGGCCCCAAGAGGGGCCCAAAAGGGGGAACACGAACAGACAATTCGAGCCTTCCGCCCCAAGGGGCCTCCAGGAGGCCCCAAGAGGCCCCCAACAGATCCCTAGAGGCCCCCTTAGAGTTCCCCTACAGGCCCTACGAGGCCCCAAAGATGGCCAAAAAGAGGCTCCAAGAGCACCACAAACGGCACCCAAGAGGCCTCCCAAACATACTGGTGCATAGCAAAGTACCGCCTACACTATCGTGCCATCGCAGCGTTGCATGACATCACATGGCACAGCACAGCACGACAGAGCTAACCGTGTCAGTGCATATCACAGTATGGTTCAGTATACCATAGCATTGCATTCCATAGCAGTGTCTAGCTGAGCCTATCATTGCACGTCATGACGTAACATTTCCTAGCATGGCATTGAATCTCATGACACATCGTGGCGTACTATGGCATTCCAGTGCACATAAACTAATCGAACAGCACCGTACTGCTCTGCGCAACAGTGAACAGAAATCATGCAAATAGCACACCCCCGTTCTTGTTCTTACTGTCGTCCAGTTTATGTCAGCCTAGCAGCTCATAACATGGCATAGCATTACATTGCATTGCATAGCCCGGCATGCCGTGTCTGTGCATACCATGAGGAACATAGCATCGCTCTTCATGGGAAGCATAGCATGATATGGCTCAGCGTATCATCGCATATATGATCATAGCATTTCACAGCACAGCATGGCATGGCATGGTATGCATTGCGCACTGTAGAGTATATCATGTGATTGTATTGCAATCTGCATCTTGAGATTGCGCTTTCTAGCGTAGCATGGTGTACCATGGCATTCCATAGCATAGTGCAACATGGCGCTATAGCGCTGCATTTCTCCTGGCCCATAGCTTGGCGACAGATCACTGGTCGACCGGTCGATGAGAGCGGACGAGGAGGAATCAGGAAGAGGCAGGAGGAAACAGAGAATGTTGACTTCATGATTCTTGACCGCCTTGTTGTCTCAATGCGGTCAGCACTCGACCAGCCGGAACCTAAGCGTGCGCGAAACGCGCGCGATGGTTCTAGTTCATCTATATATATATATAGATATAGATATACGCGTGTGTGTCATGTAGATGTGTATATATGTAGGATACATTTATATCAGAGCGAGGGTGCCGAACAGTCATTTGTTTTCCCTGGGTACGTGGCTGAAGTGGAACTCCGCGGTCCGGATTCTTGTGGTCGTTGGTGTTGTGGTTGTTGTCGTCCTCGCCCGCGACCCCCCCCCCGGCGAACCCACCCAGCCCGTGACCTTCCCCCTTCCGTGGCCCACCCGCGACCCCACCCCGCGACCCACCTGCGACCCACCCGCGACCCACCCCACGACCGCCACCCCACGCACATCCGCAACTTGGAGGGTGGGCGCTATAGTGTATATGGGTACAGACACACACATATGTATAGTCATATGCGCATAACAAATCTGCATACATATATATATATATATATATATATATATATATATATGCATAACCGTGTAAGCAGAACTAGAGAAACATCGAGAGAGAGAGAGAGACAGAGAGAGATAGAAAGAGAGTGGGAGAGACAACGCCCATATACATACATATGTATCTCTCTCTCTCTATATATATATATCTGAATATATATACTGATAGAGAGAGAGAGAGAGAGAGAGAGAGAGAGAGAGAGAGAGAAAATGAGAGGGAGATAGAGAGAGGGAGAGGAAGACAGAGAGAGAGGGAGACAGAGGAGAGAGAGAGAGAGAGAGAGACCATACACTCCAACGGGGAGAGTGAGTGATGGCATGTTTTATGCTCACGTGCATGAGCGTATCCTTCTCTAGCGTCCGCTTCATTTCTTCAGCTGGAGCAGGAGCGGGCTAGAGTCAGGTCGAGTTTCCAGCGCGGCCCACTCGCTCCTCTCCCCTCTCTCTCCGCTTTACTTCCGTTTCCTATCCTCGTTTCTTTTCTCATCTCCGCTCTATTGTTGCTCTATGGTCTCTCGCTTCTCTCCCTGCCTTCCCTGCCCGCCCCTCTCTCCTCTCCGTTCTCTCTTCTCTCATCTCTCTGCCATCTCCTCTCTCAGTCTTGTACCCTCTCGTTTTTCCCAGCCGACCTCCTTCCTCCCTTTCCCCCTCTTGCCCCTCAAGAGTTGCGCGGGAGTCGAGCTGCCTGGGTCGAGCTCGAGGGGCGACAACGCGGTTCAGTTCAAATGACACAAATTGATGGTTCATGAACACCAGCCCAGGCGCCATTTGTGTTGGCACGCGATGTTTCGGACGATTCGAGTGCCATCTTTCTGTTCCCAGCTGCAGCAATCGAGCAGGGACCCTGGTCAGCTTCTGCCCCTCGGGCGGGGAGGAGGTGGAGGCGCTACTCGAGCTCATCATCGACGTAGCTTGCCCGCGGATTTCGAGTTTGTGGCCAGGATTTGTGATAGCCGTCATATTCAAGGTCTTCCTGCCCTGTTCCGATTATAGCCTGTGACGTTCGGCCCATCCCGCCAGCGTGCCTGGGCCGTGGACCAGAGGCCTTGGGAGGCCTTTCAGAGAATGTTGGGGAACTTCCTGGGGGCTTCTGCGGCCCACATGGTTTCAGGACTACTGTAGTGCCAATGGGACTGCAGGCCAGACCGTGTTGGCGCACCTCCTATGGGGCGGCAGTTGCGAACTCTCCTCGGCCCTGGGCGAGAATCGGGCAGGTCCAGTGGTGCACAACGCAGAGGCCGCGAGGTGACACGCTCACAATGCTGATGCTGAGTCGATGGTGTGTTCGTTTTTTCTCCTTCACTCCCTTCCACTCGCTCCCGCCCCCCGCTTCTGCTCTTCCTTTGGTTCCACCACCCCTTCCCCCCACCTTGCCTCCTCCCCCTCACCCCTCTGCCTCCCACTCCTCCACCATATCGCCGCCAGGCAGCAGACGCGACGTGCCATGTCCTGATTCTAGCGCTCGACTATCCGGGCACGGGCAACGAGCTCACCTGCACTCAAGATGGCGATAACATGCAGGATATAGGGGGAGACTCTAGATGAGGGGTGCGCCCACCAAGTCGTCTACCTGAATGCTGATCTCGGCATCTGACGGGCAGGGTATGCCCATGGGCACAGCTCGCCATGGGTGTCAAAGTAGGAAAGCGCGCCACTGGATCACCCTGTAGTTGCAAGGGGGTGTGTGCTCGCAAAACCCCCCCCCCTCCCCCCCTTCAAAGGGGGGGTGAGATTTTCGACCCCCCCCGTCCCCTCCTGAAGGGGGGGAGGGGTTCCGACCCCTCCCCTCCCCCCCCCCTCCTTGAAAGGAAGGGGGGTCCGGACCCCCCCCCGTCCCCCCCTTGGCGCTGGAAAGGGGGGGGGGGGCGACCCCCACCCCCCTCTTCCCATTGCGCCGTACAGAGCCGGGGAGGGGGCCTCTCCCGCAAGGGTGTGTGTGTCTGGCCTCGGGATAGTGAGTAGTAGGTAATGAGTAGAGAGTAGTGAGTAGTGAGTAGTGAGTAGAGAGTAGCGAGTAGTGAGTAGTGAATAGTGAGTAGTGAGTAGATAGTAGCGAGTAGTGAGGCGTGAGGAGTGAGTAGCGAGTAGTGCGCAGTGAGCAGTGAGTAGTGAGTAGTGAATAGTGGGTAGTTATGGAGTGGGTAGTAAGTAGTGAGTAGCGAATAGGGACTAGCGATTAGTGAATAGTGAGGCGCGAATAGGGCAATGTGAGGAGTGAGTAGTGAGGAGGGAATAGTCAGTAGTGAGTAGCGAGTCGGGAGTAGCGAGTCGTGAGTAGTGAGTAGTGAGTAGCGAGTAGTGAGTAGTGGGTAGTGAATAGGGAGTAGTGAGTAGTGAGTCGTGAGTAGGGAGTAGAGAGTAGTGCGTACTGAGAAGTGATAAGTGGGACTTGAGTAGTTGGCAATGAGTAGGGAGTAGCGAGTAAAGAGTAGTGATAAGTGAGTCGTGAGTAGTAGTAGTGAGTAGCGACTTGTGGCTACTGACTAGTTTGTTGGGAGGAGGGGGCAGGGAGTAGTGAGTAGTGACTAGTGCGTAGTGCGTAGTGGGAAGTGAATGTTTCGTATTGGGTAGCGAGTAGCGAGTAGGGAGTAGCGAATAGTGAGTAGTGAGTAGCGAGCCGTGTATACAGTGTAGCGAGTAGTGAGTTCTGGGCAGTGCGTAGTGAGTAGTGAATTGTGAGTACTCACTAGTGAGTAGTGGATAGTGGTTAGTGGTTAATGAGTAGTGCTTAGTGAATAGTGCGAAGTGGGCAGTGAGTAGTGTTATAATGAGTAGTGAGTATTGAGTACTGGGTAGCGAGTAGTGGGTAGTGAGTAGTGAGTAGTGGGCTGGGTCTAGTGAGTAGGGAATAGTGAGTAGTGGGAGCGTCGTGAATAATGATTAGTGGGTCGTGAATCGTGCGAATTGGGTGGCGAGTAGGGTGTATGGAGTACCTAGTACTGAGTAGTGAGTAGTGAGTACTGTGTAGGGACTAGGGAGTAGCGAGTACCGAGTAGTGTTTAGTGAGTAGTGAGTTGTGGGTAGTGAGTAGTGAGTAGTGAAGTGTGAGTAGTGAGTAGTGCGCAGTGGATAGTGGTTGGTGGGTATTCATTAGCGATTCGTGATTAGTGAGTAGTGGGTAGTGAGTTGTGTTTAGTGAGTAGTTAGTAGTGAGTAGTGGGTAGTGATAGTGAGTAGTGAGTAAGTAGTTAGTAGTGAGTAGTGGGTAGTGATTAGGGAGTAGGGATCAGTGAGTAGTGGGTGGTTGGTAGTGAGTAGTGGGTAGTTAGTAGTGAGTCGTGAGTAGTGGATGGTGAGTAGGGATAAGTGAGTACTGAGTAGCGAGTAGTGAGTAGTGCGTAATGGGTACTGAGTGCTGGTTGGGGTTAGGGTTAGGGTTAAGGTAAGGGTGACGGTTAGTGGTAGGGGTGGCAGGGGTCGGGTTCTGGAGCCCGGGGGCGCCGTGGCGAAAGGGGGGGGACGGGGGGGGTGGGGGGTTCGGAACTCTCATCCCGCCCCTTGAAAGGGAGGGAGGGGGTGGGGGGGTTCCCCGACGACGGATCGGGAAAGGTGGGGAGGGGGGCGGGGTCCCCGACCACGGATCGGGAAAGGGGTGGGGTGGGGCGGGGGGGGGTTTCCCGACGACGGATCGGGGAAAAGGGAGGGGGGGGGAGGGGTTCCCCCCCCCTCCCCCGTTGGGGACATCCAGCGGCGCACCCTGTCAAAGTAGGACGGTTATGCCCTGACTTGTTTAGGTGAGATTACGGCCCAGGCATTTCTTAGACGAAGCGGTCCATGATCTGTTGAGCCACAGGCTAGGAGGTGAGTTCGGAGTCGCAGAGCTTGCTGAGCTGGCTTGTGGAACTGTCGTTGTAAACTTAAGTTTGGGATCGAGACTGCGTACACGATAAGTGCAGCGGTCAACTGGAAGGGAGGGGGTCTTAACGAAGTCTCTAAGAGAAGCGATGTGGAGCAGCTCGCCGCCCGCGTTGTACCACGTTGTCTCCAGATCTTGCGGCATGTCGTCACGTTTTCCAGAAGTGGCACCCAACCTCGAGGAGGAGGAGGAGGAGCAGGAGGAGATGATGAGGAGGAGGATACAGAGAACACAGCGGAGGAGGTGGAGTGGAACTAGTGGGATGAAGAGAAGGAACATGAGGAGGAGGAGGAGGAGCGAGCGAGCGAACGACCTCGGCAGCAGTTCGGCTTCGACGCGCGGGGGCACGAGCCTACGAGGATTGGGCGCCTATCAGCGTCCTGAATTGCTGCTGGTTCAGTCTTAGGGCGAGGCGGTAGGGCGCTTCAGGGAGCCCGTGGGGGCCTATAATGCCTTGGGCCCCCAGTCGGCCCTAGGCCGTCTCAAACCTCAGATTTTTTAGCAAAACGAGAGGGCGAAACACTCGGGCTCAACCCTCCCAACCTGCAACTGTATGTAGTAACGTTCCTAGTGGACGCTCAGGGCACAAGTTGTACAATGTTGCGCGCATCGCGTGCTCACTGTGCTATACAAGCGTATAAGTGTACAGCGTGCATGTTCAAGACACGAGGCGTTAAGCTACAGAGTGCCGCACTCTGAAGCCGTGCTCACGTGTCCCGAGAGAGCAGGGATCCTAGCTGCTGAAGTCCAGGAAGCGAAGAGGAACGCGTACTGGACAAAAGGTAGCGGGAGGCCAACTAGCCATTCCGCCAGGTATTAGGCTGAGCAAGGCTTCAGAGGTTCCCGCAGGCCCTGGAGAACCGACTCTTGGCAGAAGGGCCTCGGCCGTTAGGCCTCGGCCACAAAAAAGGTCCCTGGGGTCCAAGAGCCCAAGACGCGAGCTGTCCAGCAAAAACGGGGAGTGGCGACGATGCGGCTATGGCGTTGTCTCACCTTAAACAGGTTGAGACAGCCTCAGTTGGTATAGCAAGATCTTTATGATATTGTCTCAACAGAACGCCGAAGCCGTCGAAGGAGAGATAAGGTAGCTGCAACTGCAATCTCCAAATATGTCGTGAATCGTATGCACTTCAATGTCGAGCATGCTGTAGAAGCATACTGCGACAGCGACTTATCGCAGTCCCATACGGTTCAGCACTTCTTTCCCGTGTGTGTTGCCCTGCCTGGCTTGTCGGCGTAGCCCTTGCACGTCGACTGCTGCGTATCTCACATCTGGCGCGCGCGAAGCTGGTTCTGGAGTGCGCGCTCCAGCGCGCTCGGTGGAGCCGGTCCCTGCACGGGCTTGCCTCCCAAGTGAAGCAGTGTCATGTGGACGCCCTGGCGAAACTGCTGGGCCGTGATCGGCGGCACCTTCAGCTGTTCCTGCGAGCCCTCCGCGTTCTGCCCCCTCGCTTTGTTGATCTCGCCGATGAGGTGTTCGTCCTGAAACGGGCTAACTGCGAGCTCGTTGTACATGATCTGCAGCTTGTACTTATTCGGCTGGTCCTTCTCGCTGTACGCTTACTTGAGACGAGAGTACGGGATGAGGTCTCCCACGTGCAGGCGTGACATCTTGTTCACCACAATAGCGAACGTGCCGAGGATCTCTTTCGATGGGCTCGGCAATTCCAACTGTGCCAGGCCCTCTAAGAAGGCGACCGCGATATGTATATGTGGGCTGCCCATGTCCTTCTCGCCTGCTTTCACCTTCTCCGCGTAGGCCGTCCCCATCTCCGTGCCCTGATCCGTCGCCGCGTTCTGGGGGATCAGGTAGAAGTCCCACGCCGAGCCCGCCAGGTGCCTCGACATCTGCATGGTGTTGAGGGCCGCGCGCTGGAGTGTCGTCACCTCGTCGCTCCCGGCTGGCAATCCAATCCCAGCATTCGCATGGTGTTGGGGGGGGCCACCTGGTGCTGCTTGTTGGCGTGGCCGCTGAGCGGGGGGGGGGCAGCTGCGTGGCCGGCTGCGTCGAGTGTGTCTGATCTTGGGCGCGGTCCCGACGCTGTCAGCATCCATCCTGCTGGGTGCATCTTCAGCTTTTGGTCCTGGTACGTGCTCTTGCACGTGATGCAAGTGAGTGTAAGGGTCGTGATGTGCAATACCGCAGTGACCACACGTGTAGGGATGGTCTGGTTCAGTCCGATTCAGTCCGAAAGTCGAGGGATACAGAGCGGGCTGGGCATCTGCGCGGTCGTTTGGCCGCCATAGTCCAAATATTAACCATAGAAATATTCATAATCATAGTACGATTAAGAGTAATTGTGAAACGAATAAGAGTAATGCTAATAATTCGAATCGTAAGAGCGAGCATACTAATACGACGAATAATGAGAACCGGTCAACTATGAACATAACCATACTAGTGCTACGAAGAATACGAATCTTAAGACTGATAGTAATGATACGAATATTAATGATAAGAAGAAAAAAACGCGAATACACATACGACACATACTAGGGATCTTACTAATAATGGCCAACGTACTGATAAGAAGGCGCATGCGAATAAGACTATTCATAATATACATACTAACATTAATGATACTAACACGGCTAATCGTAATCTCAATAATGCGAGTAATACTTTCAAAACTATGAATACGACTCATAAGGCTAATAACGACTTTACGACCAATAATGGTACTATTGCGAAAGCGTAATACTAAGACTAACATAAACGACAATGAGTAATCATGCAAACTTATGCATATAATTCTATTTGTACTGGCGGTGATCGTAAGAAGAATAATAAAAAGCAGGTGACTAAGCATACGATCAAGACGAGTACTAAGAATTACGCTACCGAGGAACCCCGCATAATTAACTTAAATATTGAGTGTTTGCTTAAGTTCATAATATATGTGCAATTCTGCGTTCTCAGCCCTCGTCGCGAATGTTTCCCTATGTGTCATCCAACGCCAAATTGCTTGAACCTCCTCCCTTTTCCTAGCCTTCTATCCTCCGTCGAGGACAGATTCGAGCCAGCCAGCGGCCGCGGTGAGGGACCACCCCCTGCGCACCCCCAGTGGTGTCGAGAAAATGCCGCGCCTGCTCTGCCCTGGACGACCGTCGCGCATAGCGGCCGCGGTGAGGGACCACCCCTTGCGCAGCCTCTATGGTGTAGAGAAAGTGCCACGCCTGCTATGCCCTGGACGACCGTCGTGCATAGCGGCCGCGCTGAGGGACCACCCTCTGCGCACCTCCTGTGGTGTCGAGAAAGTGCCACTCCTGCCACGATCTGCGAGCGTGTCACGGATAGAGGCCGCGCTGAGGGACCACCCTCTGCGCACCCCCTGTGGTGTCGAGAAGTGCCACTCCTGCCACGATCTGCGAGCGTGTCACGGATAGAGGCCGCGCTGAGGGACCACCCTCTGCGCTGTCGCATGCCCCCTGCCGTGTGATCGAGCAAGTGCCACGAGAAAGTGCCACTCCTGCCACGATCTGCGAGCGTGTCACGGATACAGGCCGCGCTGAGGGACCACCCTCTGCGCACCCCCTGTGGCGTCGAGAAAGTGCCACTCCTGCCACGATCTGCGAGCGTGTCACGGATAGAGGCCGCGCTGAGGGACCACCCTCTGCGCACCCCCTGTGGTGTCGAGAAAGTGCCACTCCTGCCACGATCTGCGAGCGTGTCACGGATAGAGGCCGCGCTGAGGGACCACCCTCTGCGCACCCCCTGTGGTGTCGAGAAAGTGCCACTCCTGCCACGATCTGCGAGCGTGTCACGGATAGAGGCCGCGCTGAGGGACCACCCTCTGCGCACCCCTTGTGGTGTCGAGAAAGTGCCACTCCTGCCACGATCTGCGAGCGTGTCACGGATAGAGGCCGCGCTGAGGGACCAGCACCGCCACTCTGCCACGATCTGTCACGGATGCTCTGCGCACCCCCTGTGGTGTCGAGAAGTGCCACTCCTGCCACGATCTGCGAGCGTGTCACGGATAGAGGCCGCGCTGAGGGACCACCCTCTGCGCACCCCCTGTGGTGTCGAGACAGTGCCACTCCTGCCGCGATCTGCGAGCGTGTCACGGATAGAGGCCGCGCTGAGGGACCACCCTCTGCGCACCCCCTGTGGTGTCGAGAAATGCCACTCCTGCCACGATCTGCGAGCGTGTCACGGATAGAGGCCGCGCTGAGGGACCACCCTCTGCGCACCCCCTGTGGTGTCGAGAAAGTGCCACGCCTGCCACGATCTGCGAGCGTGTCACGGATAGAGGCCGCGCTGAGGGACCACCCTCTGCGTACCCCCACCCCCTGTGGCGTCGAAGGAATGCCCTGTGTGGTATGTTGTGCTGTGCTGTGCTGTGCTGTGCTGCTGTGCGGTGAGCTGTGCTGTGCCGTGCCGTGCCGTGCCGTGCTGTGCTGTGCTGTGTTGTGCGAGAAGGAGAAGGGCAGGGGGGAGGTGTGAGACGCGGGTGCGGCGCGGCAGGGAAGAAAACCATAACCCCACGAAACATGTAAGCATACTATCAAGACGAGTACTAAGAATAATAGGAACACGGATATTGACAAACATAAGTACAGTAGTACGAATCATCATAATACTGCGGAAACATAGCATATAAATATTCATACTATTAAGAATCACGGTGCGACGAATAAGAATATGAGTCATGGTATCAATAATACTCCTAACAATAATACAACAATTGTTAGTACGAAAGAGAAGCCTTGTACTGACAATAAGAAGAGGAATGCTAACCATACTACCACTACTACTACTTCATAGCAATATTATGAATAATAGTGCGAACACCAGTAATAGTACTAATGGTGATGGTACTTATACTAACAAGAAAACTACTATTCATATGGCTAGTCATACGAACAATAATCAGAGTAGTAGTAGTAGTAGTAGTAGTAGTAGTAGTAGTAGTAGTAGTAGTAGTAGTAGTAGTAGTAGTAGTAGTAGTAGTAGTAGTAGTAGTAGTAGTAGTAGTAGTAGTAGTAGTAGTAGGTAGTAGTAGTAGTAGTAGTAGTAGTAGTAGTAGTAGTAGTAGTAGTAGTAGTAGTAGTAGTAGTAGTAGTAGTAGTAGTAGTAGTAGTAGTAGTAGTAGTAGTAGTAGTAGTAGTAGTCGTAGTAGTAGTAGTAGTAGTAGTAATAGTGGTAGTAGTAGTAGTACTAGTAGTAGTAGTAGTAGTAGGAGGAGGAGGAGGAGGAGGAGGAGGAGGAACCAGAGGAAAAGGAAGGCGGGCGGAGGAGGCGGAGGAGGACGAGGCGGGCGCAGGAACGGGAGAAGGTGGAGCAGGTAGGGGGGTGCAGCGGGCGTGCGGGAGAGGATGAAGGCTTGAGCATCTTGTGGCCTGGTGACGGTTGTGCGTCTCCCAGACGACGGCGTCCTCCAGGACGCGACGCGCCGCGGCAACGAACGCGCCCTGGGAGGAGCTTTGCCGACTGAGCGGCGTGACAGATGTGACCGTGCTGTACAACAACCAGGCCAACAGGGAGCAGGTCCAGTGGGCGGGCGCGCTTCGGGTATGAACGCAGATGCCGAGCATGCCAGGAAGGGAGGGGGAAGAGAGTGAGAGAGAGTCAGAAAGAGAGAGAGTGGGAGAGCGGAAGACGAGTGATACGCAAACAGTCTGCTCACGTGTGGCTTGGCGAGGGGCGCCCGTGAGGGTGGGTACGGAGCAGGTCCCCGAGGCCGCATGGAGTTCGGTCTGCGTCGGCTGCGGCCAAGGCGGACCGCCCAAAAGGAGAAACTGAACGAACGTCCGTCTCGAGCATTTCCGTTTTCTTTTGGGCGTGCGACATGAGATGACTGGAGATTCAGATTCTGTGCAATGCCTTTGGCCACTGCTGGGTCGGATGGATTTAGGGGATCTTGGCAACCAAGTCCATGAGTTCTGTTTTGTGGGACAAATGCTTCCAAAGCGCGCGTGCCCACCGCCAACACAAGCATGCCATATTCAGCGAAGCAAGTTGTGCTATTCAGCGTGATTGGGCTCCCTTCTCCCCCTCTCTCCCTTTCCGTCCTCTCTCCCCGCCCCCCCCACTCTTCCTCCCCTCCCTCTTCACCTCTCTCCCCTCCTCCCTCTCCTCCCTCCGTCCTTCCACCCGCATGGATGGACGAAGGGGAGCGGAAAGGCTTGCGCGGTTGTAGATTTTATGCCGTGCGCCAGGTCCTGGCAAAGATCCAGGAGATCGGAGAGCGCTGCGAGGACGTCACCGCCCGGATGCCATAGCTGCATTTGCGGAGGGTGTGTGTTGCCGCGGCAGCGGTGGAGTTCATCCGTCCGTCTCCCTCCCCTGTCCTCCCTCTCCATCTCCCCTCCCTCCCTCTCTTCCCCCTCCACCTTCTTTTCTCCCTTCTTCCCTCCCATCCTCTCCTCCCCCCCTGACGCCCTTTCCCCAGCTCCTGTGAGTTGTACGTGAATGATCTATGCGCGCTCGTAATTAGTTTTTCGGCTCCATACGCATGAGGCCAGAGGTTGGCATCGGTCTCCTCGCTGTCGGACTTGCGAGGGAGCTCGCTTCTTTAGCTTCACTTCCCACTCGACACCAGTGCCCAGACTGCTTCTGTGATTGCCCTCGGCTATCGGAGTGTCCGAAGATACCCGACTGCGTGTGTCCGCTGCCGCTGGAGCGTCAGCCCGTGTGCGAGGTGCCGCCCGACTTCTTCAACAGGACGTGCTTCGTTGCACCCACAGCCGCCAGCGTTTCCCTTGCCAGTATCGGCCTCCTGGGAGTGCTACTCGGAGCAGCAGTTGGAGGTCTATTCACTCGGCTTTGCTGTCCTCGTCGTGTTGCTGCCCCTCGTCGTGGAGGGCTCGGTCGCGTTGAACAGTGATGGCGGGAGTCGCGGAGGCTCTGCCAGGGGGCTATGCCTTCTACTGGTACGAAGGGGACGAATACGGACATGAACGGATTTTGCTGAGGGAGGTTAAGTCACTGAATGACAAACGTATCTGGGTTGGGGCTTCGCCTGACTTCGATGTCTACGCGGAGGAGTGGAGAACTACTGGAAATCGCGGGCCGATCAGAATTGAGATGCTGAGTGGCCGCGCGGTGCCGAGGAGGCTACCGAGGCCCATCCACCGTTTCGCGCAGACGGTGCCCTGGGGCAAGTTCTCGGAGCTGAGGGCCGAGGCCTTGCAGGTCATCGTGGACGAGGGGCTCGACGAGATTCCGCGCGCGAGGGTGCTGGACGACGCGTTCGCGATCAGGAACTTCCGTCGGCCCCGCCTCGGTGCGCGAGGACCTGCTCGTCCTCTGCCGCAGCCTGCTGACGGACAGGCTGACCTTGCCGCCGCTCCCGAGAGTGACGAGGTCTAGGTCGTGTCGGAGCCTGTCTTCGACGGGGGCCAGGAGGTGGCAAGGATCGGCGCCCAGGTTGCTGCGGAGTCCGTGGCGTGCAGGCTCGGGAACCGCGGCTTCGCCAAGTTCGGCTCGGCCGTCGCGGCGCTCGAGCGTATCAAGGTTGACGACCTCGACGGCTACTTCTCGAGCCGCAAGACCCTGCTCCTGGCGGGCCTGGGTGGCACTCACGCGCCCGACGAGCGTGATGGAGGCCCTGGCTCGCCCACAGGGCTCCCGGCACTGCGGGGGGCTCTTGCGGGCCCGCAGCTTCCTGGTGCAGGTGAGGAGCCTGACAAGAAGGCGGACGAGGACGTTCGCACGCTGTCGGTGAAGTTCAATGCTTTCAACCGCAGGGAGCGCGTCTGGGTGGACTCGGTCAAGGAGATGGTCGAGGACGCCTTCTCGGACTGGCCCTTGGATGGTCCTCGCACTTTCCTGTGGCTGATGATGTCGTTTGCACAGCTGGCGATCGTGCCCACGTTCTTGCTAGAGCGCCATCTCCAGACGGCGGGCTGGAGCGAGAACGATCGCTCTATTCATGAGATGCGGGTGATGGCGGAGGTTTTTGAACTGGCTATCTCTTATGATCAGCTTAGCGTTGCTTCGCTCGCGGCCTTCGAGAGGTTGGGGCGGAGATGGCAGGCTATACTTGAGGCTCATGGTAAGAACCCGATGAACCCGAACTACGAGATTGCAGATAAGTTCTCGGGCTACAACCGCCGACGACAGCTTGTGGCGCCTGCGCTTCGCACCTACGTGGCCAAGGAGGTGCGAGAGGAGGCTGAGATCGACAAACAGACTCGCAAGGCCAAGGCTCTGAGGGACGAGGCCAAGGTCGCCCTCGAGCGCGGGAAGGCCGCAGGGAAGGGCAAGGAAAAGGAGGAGGGCAAGGATGAGTGAGGCCTCCGTCCTTGCCAGCAAGACCGATGATAGTGCTTGCCGCAGTCGTCGCGCGGTATGCACGCTGACGGGCGAGAGTGATGCGCGGGGGGCGCGACAGGCGCCGCTGTTTCCGCTCGAGTTTTGTAACCGCTCTGCTCCTCCGCCGACGCGTCCCTCGAGAAGGTGCAGGCGGAGAGCGAACCTCAGGAGCCGTCAGTCGCGTGAGTTCGGTGAGGTTTTGACGGGCCTCGACTGGCTATATTCCCGGGCCTCGAGCCCACTCGTTCGCCAAGAGGTGGTGAGCGAGATCCACGATTTTGTCGCGGGACGAGTTGCCCAACAGCCGCCTGTGCCGCCTTTTTTTGAATAAGGGGGGGGGGCCGTGCGCGAGCTCCTCCAGAGCAAGTGTGGTTATGACCACGCGGCTTCCACTGTCGTCGAGTTCGATCGAGCCCTCGTCTCTCTGCCCGAAAGAGTCCAGGACAGGAATTTGCTTCAGGACTTGGTTTCTCAGGAGGACAGGGTGGCGGTGGTGAACTTTAGGGAGAGCATGATGAGAGATGTGAAGGAAGTGATGCAAATGAGAGGCTACGGCGAGTATATTAACCCGTATTTTGACCAGAAGCTTCGCACTCGACGGTATGAGTGCGTTCGCTTTCTGAAGATGTTGCACAGTCGTAGTCTGATCAGGTGGCCGACTACGCCCGAAGAGATCGCTACCCCGTTCTTTGTTCGGAAAAAGGATGGAAGACAGCTCGGCTTATCATCGATGCGAGACGCACTAGCCAGCTTTTCCGAGATCCTCCTAGTACTTTGCTGGCCGCGCCCGAGAGTTTCGCCCGCTTGGAGGTGGGGGGAGGCGTTGAGCTTTATGAGGCGTCTCTTGACGTGGACAACTGCTTCCACAGAGTCGGCATGGACAGCGACTTGGGCGATTATTTTTGCTTACCCCCCGTTCGAGCACGAGAGCTAGGTCTGGCGCATGTTCGGGGGCGGGAGGTTCCTGGTGACGGGCTTGTGTGGGCCGCCATGGCCGTGCCCCCCATGGGCTTCTCTTGGTCGGTCTTCTGGGCCCAACGTATCAGTACTCGCCTGGTTCGGGAGGCCTCTGGGATGGGAGGCTCTGTGGCGGTGGAGGACAGGGGGGGCGGGCTCACCATAGGTAAAGACTCCGCGCCCGTCTTTTACGTGTATATGGACAACGCGGGGGTCTTGGGAGCTGACAAGATAGAGGTCCAGAAGTCGCTAGATAACAGCAAACAACGTTCTTAACGCTAACAAAATGCAGTGCCACGAAGTCCAGGAGGCTGGCCAGGTTCGGGATGCTCTTGGGATCGAGTTCGACGGAGAGCTGAAGTGTTTCAGGCCGGCGGGGAAGCGATGCTGGAAGATTCGTTTGGCTCTGGAGGCTTTCTTGGAGGCGCCCAAGGTAACTGGAAAAGCCCTCGAGGTTCTTCTGGGCCACTGCACCTACCTCGCTATGCTTCAGCGCCCTCTCCTCTCCTGCTTTGCCTCGGTCGACAAGTTCGCTCGGAGGTGCCGACGCTCGTGGGCTCCATTGTGGCCAACAGCGCGTGAGGAGCTCGAGTCGTTCCTTTACCTCATGCCCCTTATTCGCTCGGACTGGTCCCGCTGCTGGCTTGGGGAAGTGCTAACGTATGACTCCTGTCCTGAGGGTGCTGGGGCTTGCGTTGCTACTAGGTCTCCTGCCTGGGCGGCCGCTCAGGGGAGAGTCCAAGAGAGAGCTCGATTTGTTCGTCGTGATGCTGCGCAGGCTCGTGGGCGTGCGCTTTCTTGCCTCGACCCTGATGACCCCCTGGTGTTTGTGACGCCGCCGCCGTCTTTCGAGGGCGTCTCGGAGCTTTGGGGGCAAGACCTTTCGTTTCCCGAGGTTCCGCTCGAGGGGCTTGTGGGGAAAGACTGTGAGGTGCTTTTCTGCCATTCCTGGAGGGGAAAGATGACTGTACATGAGGGGGAAGCCAGAGCTGGAGTCCTTGGGATCGCTAATGTTGTTCTGGAACCTGGAGTTCATAGTTGTCGTCTTCTGGCTCTTGGGGATGCCCTCGGTGTCACGCTCAGCTTTGCGAGATCCAGGGCCCGCGCTTTTCCGCTGCTGGTCCAGGTTCGGCGGGCGTCGGCGCTGGCGCTGTCGCGAGACCTCTTCGTGGGGTTCAGGTGGATCCCGAGTGAGTTCAACAGCTCCGACAAGCCTTCAAGGGGCCCCGGTCTGCAACGTGGGGACACGGTCGAGTTGAGCGTCACTCCTGAGATACACCGTCTCGCTCGAGACCGGCAGGGCCCTGTGGCCGTTTTGGCCAAGGATGAAGTCCCACAATGCTCTACTTCTGTATTTGATTGGGCTCGGCATGTCCTTGGTGAGGAAGGCGAAGAGAGCAGCGCCGACGGAGGAGAGGGAAGTTCGTGTGCTTCTTCGGCGGACGGACCCGCTGCTACTAGAGAAGAGGTGGCAGGCTACTTTACAACAGCGACGCGATCGCCTCCCCATGCCCGTGCTGCTGGAGGAGGCGGAGAGGGACGCCAGCCGTCTGGAAGATTCGGACGGCACGACCTCGGAGGAGGACGGCAACCCGTTCGTGCAGGATCATGTGCTGAAGCGCAAGACACACCATGCGAAGATGGCAAAGGAGTCAGGTATGCAACGCGTTTCGGTGCTGGAACGAAGCTCGGTAGGAGAGCGAACCTGGGCGCAATATCGAAAGCTATATCGAGGCCTGGTGGACTACGTCGACGAGCGCAAGCTGAACACCGACAAGGTGCAGGACTTCGACGTGGCCATCGTCGCCTTCATGACCCACGTGTATATGCTGGGCTACGACGCGGGCATCGGCCAGAAGCTGATCGCGGCCGTTGTGTTCTTCCAACCTCGCTTCGGCAAGCTGGGCGACCTTTCTCTTCCGCGAGCCTGGCGGGCTGCCAGGGGCTGGGCCAAGCTGGACCCACCGCGCAGCCGACAGCCCTT